GCGGACATCGGGAGCATACCTAACATCTTTTAGGAGCAACTTAGTACCCATCTGAGTCTCTAAGCAGACATCTCCAATACCAACAACCTCTGCAACTGCATCATTGCCCATTTTCAATTTGCCAAAACTGCCAGACTTTAAGGATGTGAAGAATTCCTTCCTTGGAGTCACATGCAACGTAGCACCACTATCAATAACCTAGCTCTGGTCATCTGACACTACATTAACCACATTTGCATTGGTGACAAAGATCAAATCATCAACAAGATCGGCAATAGAAACACGGTCACCACCTTCATCCTCTTTCTCATTCTTGCCTTTAGCCTTGTTATCTCTTTTCCACTTGAAGCAATTTTTCTTGATGTGTCCTATATTGTGACAATAATGACACTCAACATTCTTATATCTGGACTTGGACTTGCTTATGGATTTCCCTCCGCCTCTTTGATCTCGGTTAGCATTCCTCCCCCTATGTTCTGTAACTAACACCTCTGATTGAGACGAAGAACCTTGCATCTTCCTTCTCATCTCCTCATTAAGCATAGCTGGTTTAACAGTTTGCATGGATACAATACCATCCGGGGCAGAATTGATAATTGAGACCCTAAATATCTCCCAAGACTCAGGTAAAGTATTTAGCAACCAAAGAGCAGCTAATTCATCCTCAAGCTTTATACCAACACCAGATAACTGATCTAAAATACCATGAAATGCATTCAAGTGATCCAACAAAGGAGTAGTTTCTTTATAAGACAAGTTCATCAAGGACTTTAACAAGTACAACTTGTTATTACCAGATTTGGATGCATACATGGACTCTAGTTTCTCCCAAAGTGACCTGGCATGTGTTTCATTTGCAATGAGACCATAAACATTATCACCAACATATTGTCTAATAAAGCCACAAACTTGTCGGTGATCACGTTTCCATTCCTCATCTGATTTTGATTCTGGCTTCTCGATTGAAAAAACAGGCAAATCCATATCTTTCACATACAAGAGGTCTTCCATTTTTCCTTTCCATATATGATAATTTGTGCCATCCAAACTAATCATCCGGCTTGTATTTGTCTCCATCACTCAAACAAGAATATAGCACAGCAACACTAGAGTAACTGAACACGAACCAGGCTCTGATACCACTCTGATGGGAATTAAGAAGAGAATACAACCACACCAAATACTAATTCCCCACTTGCAAGAGTAAGAGGATCAAAAACAGCAACAAGCTAATAGCAAATAAGCACAAATAATAAAGACAGGATGCACCAGAATTTTTACGTGGAAAACCCCTCAAATCGAGAGTAAAAACCACGGGTCACAAAGACCACCAAGCAAGCTCCACTATGACCAGAAATAGGGTACAAGAGTGTCTCAAACAAGGGCTGAAATCAGTATAAAGATACTGCAAATATACTGCCACAACAAGGAGCAAACAACTAGAGAATATGCAGAAAAACC